TGATGAGGTAAAAAACACGTTGGAACACCTGATGGTAATTGTGCTGGTGACATGTGCTTTAAATTTATATACTCATTAATAAAATCAACATATTGAGTTTTTAAATCAGCATTACGTTGCAACTTTCTTTCTAAACTGTGAAATCGTTGAAGTGCATGATTATAAGAATCTCCGAGTGAGTCGATATTACGCTGCTTAGGAAGTAAAACAGAATATTTACCAGAATCTAACCGAGTAAAATTTTGTTTGAAATGGGTTTCGCAATATGCGTCTTCGTCTGTTAGCGAAGAGTGCGCGTCAAAACAATTTTCTATTTCCCAAAACCTTTTTACAATTTCATTTAACGATTTTTCATTTTCAAATTCCAATTCAGTGGTTGATTTCTTAGCTATAGCTAACGAAAATGAGTGATTGTATTTTGGAATAATACCGCCACCTGATGCTATCCAACCCAGCCTTGTCTTCTGTAACATAAAATTATTTTCCAGACGAATTTGTCCAATACACAATAAGTTAAAAAATAAGCCGCCACCTAGTAACACATCGATTCTCTGTGATTTGAAAAACATCGGATCAGCTAAGGTGATGTTGTTTGGAATTGACCAATCTGAAATGTTTACGTTAAAGTTTGGTTGAGGATCTGTGATAGTTGTTGTAACGATCGCAGTGCATGAAGTTGAATAATCGCCTGAGTGCGATTTTGTAAATAGCTCAACAACCTTGTTTGTTTCAAGTGTAGAATCCCCTATGCCTGATATGGTTGTGTATGTTGTTTTCGTATTTAGCTGCAGCAAGTTGACTAAACGAGAAGTTATAAAATTGAGTTGAGACGCAGAATCGAGAATTGCTCTACATGGAACGAAAGTTCCTGAGGAATTTTTGATGAGAATGATTGCAGTAGCTAGTAGCACACTATTTTCAGATAGAAATTCTGGGGCTTTAGGAATAGACGTTACAGAGGACAGTGAGAGCAGCGACGTATTTTTTGAAGTTGATGGCTCTTCCGACCGATTTGCTATATGTATTTCAGGTGCAACGCCTTTCGAATTAATTGGAGATACAGATTGCATATGAAGCAATGAATGATGCTTTGAAGCACAATGACGACAATGTCCAGACTTGCATTTATTCAATGCGTGACCCTTGCGTAAACAATTTAAACATAACAGCAACTTCTTTGCTTCTTTATATCGAAGCGTTGGGGAAAGATTTATAAACAGTGTGCACTTTGTAATATAGTGATCCTTTGAGTCGCAAAATACGCAAGAGATAGTACCCATATTTGCTGCCAAATAACTATATTTTTTAGTAATTTTCTTTCCTACCTGGTGGCTAGGTGTTAGGGAGACCATAGCACCGTCCATATTCTCCAATACACGACACCTTTTTTCTAAGAAGTCAGTCATCATTTCCCACGTTGGCAAATCATGGACGGACAACTCTTCTTCCCATTTAGCCTTTGATTTAGAATCGAGCTTGGCACTGATGATTTGGATCAAGAAATTGTCTGCGATTTGTTCTTTGGTGCCCAATGTTTGTAAAGCACGCATGTGCAAATTGATTCGATCACTAAGCTCTCTTAACTTTGTCGATGATTCATTCGATATATCCCTTGCCCACAAAATTTCCTTGACGTGTGCCTGTAAAATTAAAGGTTTATTATCAAATCTCTTTTTAAGTAATTCTAAAGCCTTAGCATAGTTTGCATCACTTAAACTCAACGATCTAATGATGTCAAATGCTGCGCCCTTTACGCTTGAAAATAAATGTTGTAGTTTTTCTGTTTCAGATAGTTCTTGGTTATTGTGAACTAAGTTTTCAAATATGGCATGAAAACTAGGCCACTCAGTATAATTTCCATCAAACTTTGGTATTTGTAATTCTGGAAGCCTAATTGTATGCGCCATTGACCTGATGTCTTGCTGATTCTCACCTGACGATTTATGTATTGTTGTAGAGCAACTTGAATTGAATGTACGTCTGACTTGAAGCTCATGTTGAAGTTTTGATCGAACTTTCAAGTACAACATATCGAAATCAAACCGGACCATTCCATCAAATTCGGATATGTCCAATTCCTCAAGAGTAGATTGAGTATTTTCAAATTTATTGGCCAGACGCTCCACATGCTCCAGCCGAACAGAAATATCGGAATCACACAAACTGCTTAAATATTCAGGAGTCAGAGTCTCATTGAATGTTGTTAATTGAAACTTTATTGAAGTGGATCTTGATTTTAAGAGAATTTGTGAAGGCTCACTTGAGTGCTCTGTTGCCCCATTTACTTCAACTTCGTCTATCATGATCAATAATTTAACTCGTGTAAATTTCAAATGTAGCGTGTTCGTATTATGAATTAGTTGCACGATTGCTCCGAAAATTGCGTTTTGTATTTGCCCGAATTGACAAATATAAATCTTAAACACGACACTTACTAAAATTTATTTTATGACACGATAGCATAAAATAATATTTGTTCATATACCGATCCAAAATAAAGAAATGCACGATAGCACAAATTGTTTATATATGTCCGATCTGCCGAACTTTAAACTGAAATTAATTGAATATATTTTATGACACGATAGCATAAAATAAAGTTTGCACATAAATGCAGCGAAAGTAAAAATAGAAAGAATGCACAATAGCAATCAAAATGTATGTTAAACTTGTCCGAGTTGACAAACTTCATCGAAAAATGTTTCCAAAATTAAAATGCATGTGCATTATAAAATGTTTTGTACGAAATTAAATCCGAGTATATTTTTTCAATCCGATCACGTCGGGGTCACCAATGTTTTGATATGATAATATTTTTTATCACTTTGTAATTATTTATTTATATATTGTTTCGAAATGATAATATTTTATATAAATGTACATTCTTATTTATTTTACAAAATTTGAAAGTTTATAAACGAGTGAAACAAAATGCGTGCGTCTTCGCCAACGATCAACCGGTAAGAGAGAGTTGCAAATTTTGATACAAAGCATAAAAGGCAAAAAAGCAAGAACAAAGATTTAATAAAGCAAAAATGAAATGCAAATCACCTTTCAAACAAACAGTGTTGCAGTGTAAAACAATGTTAAAAATAATTATTACTACTCTAAACATGTATATTAAATTAATTTTTTAATTTTTTATTTTGTAATTATGAAATATTTATACTTAAAAAAAATTTGTTTATATAAATGGAGGGAATTCACAACTCATTCATATTTCATAAGAATTTCATATTTTTTCACACTGCTTCAGAAATAATTTACCTACACTAGAAGTCAGTTCTAAAGACCATGAGAAAAATTTAAATATTGTCAAAAAATTTGAATAACTTCCTTTATTTTAATTAATCAGATATAAAGTTAATTGGTTTAATTATTTTAACACAACAGACAAATTTCTTATAAATAGTTTGGCCTACCATTTAAACAGAATAATTATTTTGTAGATCAGAAATGATAACGCTGCCTATTCGCTAGCACAAAAGTCTTATTCATATAATGGACATATACTCACTATGTATAAGAATATATGACAGTATATTTTTATAAGCAATTAAATATTATTTAACTATTTCCTAGAATATGAAATATTAAAATAAGCCACTTTTATCCCACAATATTAAGCAAAAGTAAAATTTTGTCATCTTGAATTAAATATGAAATGTAAATGAACTTCAAAGATACCGAAAGAAATTTTTTTTATGGTTTTTTTTATTTTGTCAAAGACTATAACATGAAAACCTATCAGAAAATCAATTCATAACATAACATATGCAGATCCAGTAGACTAGTGTATCTGAACTGATTTGTGGTACGTCCCACACAAGGCTTTAAAGCATTACATTATGCTCTCTAGATAATATGCAAAAGCAACATTTGCAAAAATAAGCAGATCAGTTGAGTATTGAGCCCAAAACACAAACTATGTCCTTCACCTTTCCCATAAACAGTTTTTTCTTTTGCTTGTGTAGTACTAATATTAGATCGTTAAAGATAAGATTTCATGTTCGCCTTTGGAAAGGCCCTCATATGTTTAGGGGAAAACATATTAATCATTCACGTTAGTATTAACCTAAGAAAAAAATATACGTTTTCGTTTTACTGGTAACCCGCATATATTTGCTCATATTGCTATATAAGCAAATTAAAAAAAATTAGAATCATAGATTTAAATCATTTAAAGCATAGGTTAAACCGGTGGTCTTAAAGATTCGCTTAAGCCTATTAACTCATTGTGTTAATGTATGCGAACTCAAAATTTACAAACCACCTTGATCTTTTTGAAAGAACTGAAAAACTCTTTAAAAGCAAGTGCTGGAGCTGATCAAGATTTGGTGTTGGTGATTTATTGCATAAAAAAAGCAGATTCTAATTTTGGGGACATTTCTAAAAGTTATAATTTGTGAGTCTCAACTATAGTAATATACTAGGGTGTGCGATTACTTTGGAGATAAAGAAAAAATTTTTAGTTGAAAATAATTATATATTTTTAAAAATACCTAATATCCATTGCAACTCTAATTCACTTATGCCAACTATGTTCAAATATATATATCGTGACTACATAGAGATTTTCCGAAAGGCGTAGTATTTTTTCTGTTTTTTTTTTACTTCTACTTGATGAAATTTATTTGACATGAAATACTTTTTCCAACCCTCAGAAATGCCTAAAGTCAGATTTTTGACATCAGTTTTATTTTATTATTATTTATTCTATTTATATTATACATATGACTATGAGCTTTATATATATGTATATATGAATTATATTTTTGTTGTAAATATCAATACAAACATTAATTCTTTGTATTCCTTTTTTTTCAGATGTAATATCTTCTTTGTAACCAAATCGAAATTTACTTAGGTAAGTCGAATATTTTTAGATCTTACCCCTTGGTAAGAGTAAGATCTACGCAATGTGGAAAATATCATATTTTCTAAAGAATATATATTCCATATGAAAAGTAACTGGAATTATTAACTAACCCAGAAAATAATCCATTATAAATCAAAATTATTTATCATCTTAAAAATATCAAGTGCAATATAACTGTATCAGCACTATATCCAATCCTTCGTACCGATTTCTCAGTCTAGTGGAGATGTAATCTTCATTTTTTCTAGCAAATTCTTAAGCTTAAGCTTAGATGTTTTGCAATATCCAAATGTGTTGATTTTTGAGCACCAGCTTTTTAATTTTGTCCAAAGCTTTGAACATTTTTTATGACTAAGGACTGGGCCTATACTTTACTCGTTTTAATTATTTTGCACCTTCCAAATGCATCGATTTTGGAGTACCAACTTTTTGATTTCGCTGCTGCTTTCGGTATTCTTACCAATTTAAGGTCGATCAACATAAAGTCAGTTAAATCAGTGCTTCTTCTTGACTACATACAGATGTTTTGTATTATTCAAACATCTATATTTACAATACTTTCAATGATTCATAATACAAAACTTCATTTGAAATACAAAATTCCAGATTTGTCGCTTACTATATATTTTTTCCAAAGAAAACATTACAATAAATTTAAAAATATACTTACAACTAATGTAAGCATAATGCGCCAGTTCGGGCCAGTTACAAAGAATAGCCCTGTACAGAAGCACCACGTTGTCTTTTAGGCCCGTTTCCTAATATTTTGTCCCGATGCTTTTTGCTAATAACTTAAATTAAAATTAAATTCGAGTTATAGCTATAAAGCTCATTCTTATGTCTTGTACTCTTTTTTTCTTTCTTGTTCTTGGTACTCCTAAAGTGTGATATATTAACAAAAATTTTTGTTGTTGTCTTTTCATTTCTATTCGAACTCTTCTAACTCTTGAATAGTTTTTTTCGTCATAAGAAGAGTCACTTTCGACAAGAAAAAATATACATTAAAATTTATTGATTTATTAATGTTATAGGTAGTTCCTAAGGTAGTTCCGACCTTTTAGAAATTTATACCGATAATTATTCTGTGGTTCAAGAAGCGAATGACTCGTTATTTGAATAATTTTTTGTTCAGATAATTATTATATCCGGAGTAAAAGTTTTGTTGTTTTTTGTAAGATGTACTTTGACAATTAGCATCTTTGGTAAATATATTATATTATATATAATATATATTATATTGAATTTTGTTAACATATATTGAATTTCTTCCTCTTATTGAACAAAGCCATCAAAGTAATGCGAATTTCCATATTTGATGGCAATTTATATTAATTTGAAATGTACTTTTCATAACTTTATTTGGGTTTTAGTAACTATTGATAAGAAAAATAAACTCTAATATATACACAAACTCAATTTCGCAAATATATTATTTAATTTGAATGTGAAAACTATTGCTTTTATGAAAATTTGTCATGTCATTCGCATTTTCACTTCCTTTAAATTATTTATATTCTATGAAAGCAAGTTCTCTTGCTTTGTTTTAAAAGTATTTATTTCTAAATTGGCAAGAAGATTGCATATGCAAAAACGTTTATGATTACACGTGACATGCATCCAGCCTGCAAGCAAAAGTCAAGACAATACAATACCAATTTGAAACACTGGCATTTCAAAAGGACTTACACAAAACAAATAAACGCTGGAGTCAACATATCTAAGGATACAGCGTACCATACTACAGTACATAAGAAGAAGCAAATAAAAGATACAAAAAGGTATGAGAAATATGAAAACTCTTCATGCAATTTGTACGCTAAAAACTTAAATTGCATTCGTCATTAATGCATTCAAAGGTAACAAAATGAACGAAAACATGGGACTGTGTGCAAAAGGATCCCAGTAACAGGATCTGGAGAGGTTGCTGAATGTGCACCAACACATGCAACACATTGTTGCAAGTGCAAACGTGTGGCATGGAGCATGAAATGTGACTTGTGTAGAATTAAGCGAAAATTACTAAAGTTAAAATTACAATTTGTGGTTGGCAAAAACTTTTGCAATTTTTGTTAATGAATTGTGACATACACAAACACATGCGCACTCAAGACGACACTGCAGCCAGGACATGCAACTCACACAACAATGAAACAGGACATGCTCGTTTGCTCATATGCTCATGTGTTGATATGCAAGTATTTGCAAGTATGCAAGTATGTAGGAAAGCCCAACTCCTTAGTTGTCTTTTGGGTTGGCTTGCATGCCTTGGCAGCTGCAATGGTTGCAATAATGGCGTTGGTATCAACAGTTGCTGTGTTTCCTGCTAATGACAATGAATGAAATATAATTTTTTCATAATTGCTTAATAAAAACCAATTTCATTTCTCAAACAATTGCATTAAAACGCTTGTTTTTTAATGAATC